CTGACAGAGTTCATCATGGCTCCAGAGCGTTGGCACTCTGAGTGGTATCCATTAGGGATGGCCCAGCGTCCAGGCTGGCTCAACACAAACTCCGACCTGCTACCTGGTATGGTTGTCCGTAACGGACTTCCCCCTACTCCAGCCACAGCTCCTCGGACAGGGCTCTGCTCGGCTGTGACATCACCATCTATGGCATCAGGTCCAGCCTCAGCCCCTTCTTGCTCCTCAACTGTTGCCAGCTCCAGCTCCAATGGTTCTGGCCCCAGTAACAGCGCCCTCTGTTGGATCAGAGGAGTCAGTGGGGCCTCAAAGCTGACGCAGCTGTCCGTCTCATCGGTGAGAGACAGCACGTCCAGAGAGTCCAGGCTGCTGTAACATGTCCCCCCTCTCAACAAGGCAGACTCTACGATGCGCTCAAACGTGGAGCTGAAGCCATCTTTGCTGTCCACCACCTTGCTTTTGTCCCTCTCCTCCTCAGATTCCCGCTCCTCCTCCTCCTCCTCCTCCTCCTCTTCTTCTTCATCTGGAACATCAACCTGCTCAACGATCTGCTCGAATGCGGAGCTGAAGCTGTCCTGGTTTTCTCTTTCATCTGCGTCTCTCTGGACCTCCTCCTCCTCCTCTTCCTCCACCTCTGTGTCAGCCTGCTCTACATTTGTCTCAAAGTTAGAGCTGAACGTGTCCAGATTTGTGGCTCCCTCCCTCCCGTCTCCTTCTTCATCATCTTCACCAAATTCTTCCTCTTCATCTTTCCCATTTAAACCATTTTCCAGCCTGGAACATGAGGAAGGAAAGAAAAATCTGAAATGACGCTGAGCCTCGAGATTAAACAGATTCATTGTTTAGCATGTTTGAAAATAAAATGGCCTTAAATTATTTCAACAAAAGTTTTTACAATTACAGCCCTGAAGAAGTACTTTGTTCTGTTAATTATTATTATTATTTACTGCTCTCTGATATTCCGAAGCCTTGTGGGATGCTGCCTTTTGGCCCATTCTGCTCTTTTGTTTGTTGTCTTTTCAACTCCTTTAGTTGAGGATTATTGCCTTTCTATTTAAAATTGTTCTAGTGAATCTGCAGAACAAGCTAGGTTTAAAATCCTAACACAGACATGGAACACTCACCCCTCCCCTCGGATATCCTCCCGGAACCGGAAACCCGCATTTCAAGAGGAAACGAGCTAGAGCTAAACACCAGTCGCCGGTTTCTAGGTCCAGATGTCTTTAGTTGTCCATGACTTCACAGGGTGTTTTCTTTTTGGGACTCTGCTAGTCTGTCCCAAAGCTGAAGGTAGCAGCCGGCTGTTTGTTCTCCTCTGATACTATATTGAGTGGAGAACCTCTCACACCAGTGGTGTTCTGCTGCTACTACGCGAGTGCGTATGTGCAGAGGACCCGCAGGAATTGCGGAGTTTCAGTGAGACAGACAACCAGATGGTCCAATAGTTGCTTTCGGTTCGAGCCGTGTTATTGGCTGAGGTTTTTAGATGAATGCAAGAGAACCACTTTGTTGATATTTTTCATTTATTTAATCTCCACAGTATTTTATAGCTATACTATATGCTAGAATGTTAAGAGGCCTGAAGAACTGTTGGTTTTCCAGGTAACGCTTCCTTTAACAGTCCCCTAATTACTAAGTACTTACATGGTAATTACATAGTAAGGTAAAGTGTTTTATTGTGTAATTAAAGTGTATAAATGTAATAAAGTGTAATTATATTTACTGGGGATGATTAATAAAAATTAAATCTAGAATTGAACCTGAGTTACATGGTAATAACTGTTTAAGAACTCAGAAACAATAACTTACTATGTAAGTACTTATTAATTAGGGGATTGTAAAAGAAAGCGTTACCGTTTTCTAAATTTGCCATCAGAGCTTTAAGCGCATTAACATAATCACGGGCCAGGAAACTACTGAGGACGGAGTTTTCTGGTACTGCACCAAAGGACAGGCTCAGTTTACTAAGAATCTGCGTGTTGGATGGAGGTGACATGTGCATTATCACTTGGAAGCACATCTTTTGTAAATAAGTTGGTAATGAAACATTCTTACATGAACAGCACAGATGATTTTGTGCACTAACCGTCCAGGTTGTCCAGTCTCCTCAGCAGCAGAAGGCTGCATGTCTTCATTGTCCCCTTCCTCCTCCGCCTCAGCACCAGCAACATTTTCTAACTCTCCTCCTCCTCCCTCATCCTTTACATGCGCACTCCCCTCGCCTTCCCCGTGTGTCTCCTCCTGTGCCACCCCTTCCGTTCCTTTGATCTCTTTCCCTTGGTTCCCCTCCTCTGTGTCGTCCTCCTGAGCCTCTGGTCCGTTCTCAGCTGTTTCATGGTGCGTCTCTGCTGGTGCGTCCGTGGTGGTTGCACTGGGCTCTGCTGGGTTCTCAGGTGGAGTGGGAGAGGGCAGAGCCTGCCCCTCCTGGGTCATGATGCCCTTCACAGAGATGGGGGAAGCAGCTGCCCAGTCCAGGTGGAGACGAAGACCATTGTCAAACAGGATCAGAGAGGAGAGAATAAGCACAAAGTGATGAGTGAGAACAATTGCAGAATTGCATTAAATATTGATGTTTTAGCTAAATATGTCACGAACCATAGGGCTGAGCCACAGACTGATAGATTATAATAAAATGTGTGATTCTTAAAGAAGTCTTAATGCTATATAAATTATGTGACATCATGATGCATTTGTGTTCAGAATGATTTATAAGGCCACAGCTTGCTGTGCAATAGATCCACTCTGTCAGCATGAACAGTGATGAACAATGGGTCATAGAAAATAAAGAAAGGCAAACGCTCTGCTGTGTTTTTATTTAAACTTCTTTTGCTTTGCCATTATAAATGTAATTAATAAACTATCACAATAGATTAGTGTGGCTTTATTGTCCGTTCAGAACAACTTGGCACATTTTAATAGGACTCAGAAAATCTCATTTAAATTTAGGTTTTGGATTCAAGATGGCTGCCACGGCTAATCAACAAGCAACTGCTAGTGGAAGTAGCTGAGTCACTCCCGACACTCCAAGTGCCAAAAAGTCGTGTTAGTTTCGAGATTTACCCAAAAACAGCTCCTAACTCCGCGTTTTCTCATCATGAAAAAGTCTCAGATTGAAAGCTAACTCGTGTTCCTCCATGGGACGACGAACCTTCAGTTATCTGTAGCTTGAATTTTAATTTACTTGTTAGTTTAATAGCTCTGAGTCAACAGGAGGAGGCGTGCTCTCTGTCGTCTGAGTAAGAGCACGAAAGCACGTTTGTTGTTGCCGTTCTGAAGCAGCCAGTCGGGCCGATCCAGCTGGAGACCAGACCCACTGACTCATCTGCAGCAAAGGAACCAGGAGCAGAGCTGCAGTAAAAATATTTACAGGCATTTCTGACAGCCTGGTAAAGACCTAGTTAGCGAGGAACGACCATCTCCCAATGGGCTCTCTCTGGTTTGTAATGAAATATCTGGTAATCTGTGTGTCTGTGTGAGAGTGAGGGATAGAGGAAAGATCTGTGGCAGGCTGGGATGTGAACCAGTATTGCGTCTCTGAAGTTGCAGCTGCTTTGGCATAGCCCACAAACACGAGAACACCACAGAACCAATGAATGTTTCATCAGAGCTGCAAAACGTTGTTGCAAATTGCAAAAACCCAAGAAGAATCACAAGAACTGCTCCCTCATTTCACGCTCCCAGATTTAAAAAGAATCCTTCCCGTCCTCAGACTTCATGTTGTCATGCAGAAGCTATGGTATGGTGACGTTCTCAACCCCGCCATACACACACACACACACACACACACACACACACACACACACACACTTTTAAAATGTCATCATTAAACCAATCAGAGGCAAGACAGAAGGGAGCGACTCCTATTCATCTCCAGCAGGATCCTTTTGTTGTGATTCAGTCTGAGTGAGTTTGGTGAACGTTTTCACACAAGAAGCCGTCCTCCAACCCTCGTCTCTCTGACTGCTGTTGCTCCGATCTCAAAGGACAATCTGCCAGATTGCTCCACAAATTCCTCTTAGATCCGCGATTAGTGATTGGCCATAATCATAGTTTTTCTTTCAATTCAATTCAATTCAAAAATACTTTATTAATCCCAGAGGGAAATTGATTAAAAATGACAACTGAAGCAGCTGATCTAAGAAAACAACAAAAACCGAAATAACTAACAATGAAATAACCAACTAACAACTAAAATACTATAAGAAAATAAACGGTTTTAAACCAGTTGACCAGCGTGCGTCCCAGTATTTCTCCAAAAAAGCACCGTGTGTTTTAGGGTTTCTGTCTTTTGGCTCACTAAATTCATCTGAGAGTGATAAGTCTAAAAGTGTCTCCGGCCTAAATTATTCATGGATTAGTAACTGCTGACTGTATTAGTGTGATCTCAGAATAATCCTAACTCAGGTACGTTTCTGACTGGGGTTTACTTCCATCCATGAAGGAAACGTCTCAAATTGTATTGAAATCAGCTATTTCCTAAAAGGACTTGTTCTCCATTAGACATGCAGAAATGGAACAGACACGTTGCCACAAATGGAAACAGTTATGAAACCAGACACAGTGAGTGGGAATTCTCCGTCTATCCCTCTCTGTGTCTCCAGTGCCCTGTTTTTCCTCCCACTCCGTCCTCTTCATCTGTTCCACATTATGTTTCTCTGCTTTCTCACAGTTTAACTCCACTTTCTCTCATCTCCATCTCAGCCTCTCATTTAGCTGTAATTGAGCTAAATGGGTCATATCCGATGGAGAAAAGACGACTCTGCAAGTGAAAAGCCCTGCTGCTGAGGAGTGGGAGCAGATGTGCTCGGGCACCCTGGGTGGACACAAGGAGAGAGCACAGACAGTGATGGGTGAAGGGTGTGTGTTGGCAGCCTCTGAGATAGTGTGTGTCCCCGCCTCTTTGTCTGTCTGGACAATGCCCATCAGGACGGACTTTGTGCAGCTAAACACTGGGGATCTTAAGCCTTATCAATTTCCTTTAATTGTGATCAGACTGATTGTCAATCAAGTGGACAACACACACACACACATACACACACACACCCTGAGACACAAAACCCACCAATCGAGTTAGAATGATGTCGAACAAAAAGCCAAATTGCAATCAAATAATTCTTTTCTGCCTCTTGAGCCTGTTATTAGTTTCTCTTTCTGTCTCAAACACACACACACACACACACACACACACACACACACACACACACACTGCGCTCTAATGTATTGATCTCTGCGATTCAGTCTCCAGAGAATATCCATTGACGAGCATGGCTGGTCTCTGCAGGCAGCAGAGCCACTGATGTGTTGAAATCAGAGGAAAACAATGAGAACAACTCAAAAAGATCTCACTGGAACATGAAGCCTGTTTAGAGGTGAGAAAACAATCTGCTGTTTTAAAACTCGTCACTAACATGAAGGATGTCTCCTACTTTTTATAACATTAAATAGAAATCTCATCAAACATGCAGCTAAAAACAAGAGAAGTCCGCCTGCCTTTCATGATCTCCACTAAAATCATCGCATGTGGCATAATAACAGAGCTTCGTCTTCTTTGGTCACATCTGGGAAATGTTGTTAGGCACAGCCACTAGTAACAAGACAGATCCTATGTGGTGTGTTTTGGGACTGGCTCTCAGCTGCTACCACATAGATTTGACCTCAGTATCGGTGAAACTGACTGGGTTACAGCCATTGTTGGTTTGACTCATGTTGATAAGCTGTGGTGAACAGCTGACTTCAAAAGCCATTTCAGACGTGCATCTAATGATAATTTCATTAAAATCTGTCTAGTGGTTGGTGAGATATTTTGTCTAAGCCAGTATCTCACCGGACTGCAACTATGGCAACCAGCTGGAGAGATGGAGAAACCACGTTTTCATTTGGAATCACTGAATTAGTACAAACAACACTCCTGTCAGAGGTTTTCTGTACAACCGTGGCACATGGGGGGTATGAGCAACTTGTGAGAGTCGTGAAACTGTTGTGCAGTTTGCCCTCTTTTTACTCACCATGTCTTACCTGTTTAATGTTTGTATTTAAAATGGAGAAATAATAACAATACTCAAACAAGCATCTGCATATTTTTAGGATTTTTTTTTGTTTTTGTTTATAGTTTTTTGTGCAGTTAAAGTCACACTTGGCAGTTTTAGCATCTTTTAGCACCCCCTAGAGTCCATTGAGTGGAACTAAAAGCAGACCATATCTCCTCACTGTGCATTCATAACACTTGAATTTAACAGCTGAAACGTCTCCCAGCCTTCATTAGTGTCTACAGGAGCGATTCATCACTAAATTAAACAAATCAGCTGTGTTTGTGATCTAAAACAAGCAGGAGTGTGCTGGAGGAAGACTGCAGCACCAGGTGTGTCAGCTTCATTTTTTCAACAGAGTGGACCGGCACTCTGAAGTTGCAAGTGCCGTATTCTGACCACAGAGGGCAGTGGGGGTCTGAGTGGCATTTCATTAACCCTGTAAAGTGTCATTTTAGCACATACTGGCTCAAGAAAATTATTTAAAAATATGGAAAAGTGTGTCTTTAAGCACATGTACCAGTGAGACAGATGAAAATGAAAGTGATCTAAGTGGTTAAGCTAGAGGTCAAAAGGTCAAGATAAGAATCCCGCAAACGTCAGATGTAATGGTTATGATGCCTTACAACTAAAGTCACATTTTTAAAACCACAGACAGAAATCATATACGTGGGCTGGCGTTGCCTATTGGAGCAGCAGCAGGCCGCCATATTGGATGGGTCGCCATTCGCCCACCATTGCATTTATTTCTACTGTGTTTACCCAGATAAAAACGCATTGTACTATGCTTTTTCCCAGTATATGGCACAATAACTAAAATGCAAATATAATTTCATAAATTAAAATATAAAATCCCATCAGGTGGGCTAAAAAAGTCAATAGAAATCCAACACGATGTTTTCAATAGTGCACCGGTTGTTGCAAACGTAGGCTGCACAAAAAACGGGCCTAGTTGTTCACCCTGCATAGTCTCCAGTTGGGTTTGGAGAGTGAGGAGACCCACCCAATATGGTGGCAACACTGTTACGCCCTCCAGCGTCCAATAGGGGGTCTACGTATTCATGGCGTCTATGGTTAAAACTCTAAAATCCAAGAATGTTTTGTTCTTCCTCCCTCCAGAATTTCCAGCAATCAGCTGCTTGTCTCAACGGCTAAAAGCTGTAACTCACCATCTAACCACAAATGTATTTAAAGGTGTGATAGGTTAAACATTCATAATGAAAAAATGCTAATTAACTGTTCCTACACTAGCCAGCAGCAAAGCTGAATTGTGGGTGACAGGAAAAGCTGAGAACAGCTGAGGACTGTGTCCAGCAGATGTGGTTATATCATCATCTTCATCAACCTTTATTTATAAAGCACATTTAGACGGAGACAGCGCCAACCAAAGTGCTGTACAAGACAATACATCACCAAAATAGATAAAACACATAAAA